GAGCACCCACCACTAAGCCCGATGACCTGAGTTCAAAGGGTGAGCAAGCAGGCAGGCATGGTGCTGAGATATTGGATATTGGGATTCACACGGTAGAAGGATAAAAGGAGCCTCTGCAAGTTGTCCCCTGACCTCCATGTGTGAGCCACATGACATGCACACACACACACACACACATTACATCACATCACACACAATGTTTGGGGCTGGAGTGATGGCTCAGAGGTTAAGAGCACTTACTACTTTGCAGAGGACCCAAGTTCATTTCCCAGTACCCACAAGGTGGTTCACAACTGTCAATAACTCCAGTTCCAAGGGATCTCACATTTTTTTGGTCTCCATAGGCACTGAGCTTGCACATGGCATATATACATATGTATATATACATACATACATGCATACATGCAAGCAAAACACTCATACGCATAAAATAAAAATATATGTCTTTAAAATAATTATTTTAAAGTAATGACATGGAAAAGCGGAAGAGATCATATGAAAGTAGCTGAGGAATTTCTGACTGGTCTTTTCAGTTTTAGGAAACACATGCACACCAAGTCTAGAGCAGAGGACTGTGCTCTCAAAGTTCTTGCTCTGCATCATAAAAACATCAGCAATGCCTGTCTTCCTGCCAATTCCAACTCCCGACATTCATAATCTCCCATTTGTGCTTACATTTCAAGTGAAAATGTCCCTAGATTATTTCTCTGCCAGAACAGTAGATACTCATAAGACTGGAGCCAAGTGTGGAGAGATTTATGTCTAAAAGTTGAAGAAAAATGTCAGTTGCCATGGGAATGTAAAATGGTACAAAAAACAGGCCAGTGGTCCTCAAAATACTAAGTGTGCAGTGATAACACAACCTAGCAATCCATCTCTATGTGCACTCAAAAGAACGGAAGCCTGGCACTGGTAGCTCTCCGCCCATGCTCACAGCTCAGCAGGTAAAGACGGAAGCAACCCAAGCATCCATCAGTGGACAAAGGGGTAAACAAAGTACAGCTCATGTGTACAATGGGGCATGTTCAGTGATCAGGAGGACGCAAATCCCAGCCTTTGTTACCATGTGGAAGAAACATAAAGACGTGATATCAGCTAAGGGAAGCAGAAAAGCCACAAAAAAAGACAAACACCCTCAAAATTCCACCAAGATGCCTAGTTCTTCCTGGAGAGAAAGCAAATCTGGTCATCAGGGGTTGAGAACTGAGCAGAGAAATGGGGGGGGGGGGGTTACTGTTTAATGGATGTGGCATTTCAGTTTGCAAAGATAAAACGTTCCAGAAATGAACTGACAGTGTGGTGACTTGAATGAGCATGGTCCCATAGGATACTACAATGGGACGCTTGGTCTGTAGTTGACAAAACTGCTTAGGATTAGGTGTGGCCTTGTTGGAGGTATGTCACTGGGGTGGGCTTTGAGGTTTCAGAAGCCCATGCCTGGCCAAGTCTCTCTGTTTCCAGCTTTTGGATTAGATGTGAGTTCTTAGCTACCAATGCCTTGCTCTCCACCATGACGGTGATGGCTTCAACCTTTGAAAGTGTAAGCAAGTCCTCAATTAAATGCTTTCTGTCATATTACATTGGTCCTGGTGTCTCTTCACCCCCTTAAGAAAGTAACTAAAAGAGATGTTATGAAACATAAATGTACTTACTGCCAAGGAACTGTATGTTTAGAATTGTTAAAAAAGGTTAAATTTTATGATAGATAGATAGATAGATAGATAGATAGATAGATAGATAGATAGCAAAATATTTTTTCCACTTTTATTTTTAGACCCCATAGTTGGGAGGGAAGAAAACTGGTTTTAACTAACTAGCTGAGGGGAAGCACACACCTTTAATCCCAGCACATGGTTAAGCAGAAGTAAGCAGGTCTTTGTGAGTTGAAGGCCAGTCTGGTCTACACAGTGAGTTCCAAGGAATCCAGGGATGCGTAGAAAGGCCCAGTTTTAAAAAAATAATGTTGATAACATAGACCAGATGTCAGTCAGCCAACACCCTGGAGCACACCACTTTCACCTGCTGCAGAACTGAGCTTCCTCATCTGATCATCCAGGACTGTCTGGATTTGGGTCTGTTTGTTTTTGGTTTTCCCCTTGTATTCAGTGTTCTGAGGTCTTCCCATTGTTACTGCAGAGAACGGCAGACAGGGAGGACAGGAAAGATCTAAGACCAGAACTCTTCTTTCAGTTTAAGGAGCAGTGATCACGCGAGATTAGCAGAAGGCCCCTTGCCAACCTATGACCTCACCTCTTCTCAAAGAATGAGATACTGAAAGTAGGCGGAAGCAGTTTTGCCCTTCTCTCGTGACAAAGTCCATTCTTTGACACATATTTTAACTCTGGCAACTCCCTCAAAGGATCCACTTGAGAATGAATTTCCAAGCTAGTTTTCCTAAGGAGAGTAATGGAAAGTGGCTGGGTTCATAGCAGGGGATTTTCCCTTTTTCCAAGTGTCTGAAAGAAACTCCCCAAGGACTGCAGTGCCTGGGTATGAGAGGACACTCAAGAAAAACTGCAGCATGGGCTGGAGAGATGGCTCAGTGGTTAAGAGCACTGTGCTGGCATATACGAAACATAACCCTCACAAACACAAATATACATAATCAAAACTAATTTTAAAAAGTGAAAGAAAAATGGTAACAGGACTAGCCTTGTTCTTTCCCCACCTTTTTTCCTCAAACACTGTTTGCATAGGGCCCCTCACTACCCAGAAGCCTGGTGAAGTTGGTCTTTAGCATTCCTATCATCTCCAACAAAGCAAAAAAAATCATGAGCAGCCGTGGCGATACAATTACAATGAGCTTTTCTATAAACTCCCATATACTTTGTCAGCTAAATAGCAAAACAGTTGCATATAGTCAATGTTTTCATAAAGGGATGAATACGCTTGGGCAGGGTTAAACAAATATTTAGAAGTACTGAAGGAGGGTTTGGCTGCTTGAAGAAACCAGGAACTGAATACCAGGTTTCCTCTCCCTCTCTGGAAGGTTCCATCTGCTGGCGCATTTGCAAGGTTGAGCATGCAGAACTGGTTTTCATGGCAAACACTATGCTGCCCAAAGATCACAGAGTACCAGGGATAAACTTCACCCACAGTGAGCTCCGATGGGAGAGATGACAGCCATCTCTGTACTTTACAGGGCCAAAACCTCCCCATTAACATCAAGGCTGACTGAGCAAATGTTTTAAGTGGAACCTGCAACCAGGGACTCAGAGAACTGCTCAAGTACTGAGTACTGAGTCCCTTCCTGAAGGAGATACAGGTTTGGATGGAGGGGGCAGAGGGTTTGTACAACCGTTTCCTGCAGCCTGAGATCTGTGCTCCTTTTCCCCAGGTATCACACACGGAGTCAGCCTTTTCTCCACACATGGACTACCCACCCTGCCATCAGGAGCCTTGCCTGAGCTCTGCAGGCCATTCATGGGGTGGGATGGACTTGTTCAGAGGGCTTGCCAGTAGACGCTGAGACACCATGAGATGGCAGAACTGTGTCTGCAATCAGAAACGCACAGGGATCACACAGCACCACAGAAGGGCGGGACAGCCTCCACCTCCTGACCCTAGGCAAAGAGAAAGTCAGACTCATTTGACAGAGCATGCCTCAGCTCTTGAAAATGTCCTTCCTGACTGGCTAATCATTTATTACTTATTGCTCACTTATGTAAGCCAGCAATTTCATAGTCCTAATGATTCACCTCGGGGAGTGGTAGGACATGGGTAAGAGAATCAACTTAGGTCTGGGCTACCAGTCTGGGATATATATACCAAGACCCTGTCTCAAAAGACAAAACCCAAAACAAACAAAAATATCCACCAGGGCCAAAACCTGATTTAAGAAACAAAACAAAAATAAAAACAATTTTATTCTCTCTCTTGATCTCTGTGTATGTGTGTACGTGTGCTCGTGTGAGTACGTATGTTGGGGTATGTGCATGTGAACAGGTGCCTAAGGAGTTCAGAGGCATCCGATCTCCCTGCAGCTACTGGAGTTAGGGCCAATATGAGCAACCAATGTGGATGCTGGGAACAGGACTCCAATCCTCCTCAAAAGCAGAATGACTTTCTAACAACTGAGCCATTTCTCCCAGGTCCCCAGACCCTGAGTCTTAACTATCTGACTACAATAATGCCATTGCCATTAGAATAAAAACCAAGTCATGGGCTGTTTCTCTGTGCAACTGCCTTTCCATTTGCACCGAGATGAGCACGCTAGGGTTCCAGAACTTTGTCAGGTGTTTTCAACTGCAGCTGAATAAACAGAAAAATTACAGGAAAGAAAAGAGAATCCAAGGCTTTCCTTTCATGAGTCACTCTCCTGTCTTAAGCAGAAGCAGTTCTGCCCAGGTGGCCACAGTGCTCAGCACGACACCCTAAAAACAGCAGACTTGCTAGCAGCAGAGTGTCACAGAGAGTCAGAACAACAAAAAGCTCCAAAGTGCGTTCATCTGTGGACCAAACATTTACCGGCCTCTCGGTACAAAATTATCAAAACCAGGTATCCCACACTCCTCTGAACCAAGACAGGAAATTAACTGTCACTAACAGGAAATAATATCTTCACTCTTCTCATATAAAGACAAGCGACCTCTTCAAATAAATAAAGACATCTTTCTCATGATGCAGATAACATTAACCACTGAAATACTGTAATATAGCATTTGGGCACCAGTAGTAACAGGGCTTGCTACCAGCATGATGACCTGAGTTGGATCTCTGGGACCCACACAGCAGGAAAACCAATTCTTACAAATTGCCTCCCCCCCCCCCACTCACTCACACACACATATACACATGTACAATAATTTTTTAACATAAAAAAGGATTTGGGTATAACTACCAATAGATATCATTGCTGGGACTTTATTTCCAAGGCTTGCTTAAGGACTATCCTAGAGTACAAGAGAAGGCTATCAGAGAGCAGAAGGAAAGACGCCCACTTACCTTAATTTATCAAAGCTTCTAGTACCTTCTTTTGATTCAAATATCCATACACAAAGGAAGGTTTCCAGCTTTTATTTTTAATGTACAGAGCCACAAACAACACTTCTCTCTTAACTTATGGGAGGTAGTACATTCAAATATGTTTGGATTTGACAATTTGCTGTCACCAAGAAATGTTATTAAAAAAGTTACTTTTGACAGGCGATGGTGGTACATGCCCTTAATCCCAGCAGCTGGGCAGCAGAGGCAGGCGGATCCCTCTGAGCTCAAGGCCAGCCTGGCCTACAGAGCTAGTTCTAGGACAGCCAAGGCTACACAAAGAAACCCTGTCTCAAAAAACCAAACCAAACCAAATAAAAAGTTACTTTTTAAAGATAATCCAATATCTTTTGGGTATATGGACCTTGGCCAATGTTTTGATAGCAAGTTGTTTATACATACAGTGCTTTGGACTTCAAATTATTTTCTTAAAGAATGTCAGATTATGTAGATATACACTCTATCTTCCTCAAACTCATCCCATTTTGAAAGCTGAAGATAAATATCACACACCAAAACATTTCCCAAATGGCATTTCCTTTGCCCTTGACTACAAAAGTCAAAAGTTAGACTTCAGTTTCCTAAAGACACAGCTATTTCTAGAATACATGGATGTAATCATGACAGGCTACTAGAACTAAATGGTCACTTCTATGTTAAGACTTTTCACTACAATGTAGCTTTCCTAAAAAGATAAAAAGTATCAGGAACTTAGACTTCTCCTAATGAGCAGAACACAACAGACTCTCTTCCTCTCTGGCTTCAACTGACTTCGGTGGTCAGCAACTATCCCGGTGAGATAAAAATTCGGGTTCACAATCTCCTCTCCCCAGGGGCGCCATACACAGTTTACAGCAGGTAAAAATGCTAAGAAAGGCCACAGCGGATAGTGCCGGACACTGAGAACAGTAGATTACAGAGACCACAGAGGGTCAGAGAACACCATGAATTTCCATAACTTTTTCAGCAACTGAAACAAAGAAATGTTTAGAGGAACGTAAGAGTAAAATATTAAATTCCACTGTTGATAATGCAGTTTTCAGATACTGTTTCCTTTGTCAAATGAACAAATTAGTTTAACTTAAGATTAGAGAAAGTGAACAAGATTGACACAGGAAAGCTATTCCTTGTTTTCTTGTCACAGGAAAGCACTCGGGTTGGCGCGAGGGTCTTTCTGGTTTCGGTATCTGTAGGTCAGCCAAACACCCAGGATCTGGAATTAAAAGAAGGAAAAACAAGTTTGGAGTAGACTTAGCTCCTCAACAGAATAACTGAGTCACTTTTGCCTGGTTTTGCTCAAAGAGGAGAGTCTTCAGGCAAATCAAAGGACGGGCCCGAATAAAACTGAACTATGAAAACTGCACTAGACTGCATGCTCACTCCCCAAGATGCCAGCAACCTGCAAATGCTTCTTTTGGAGGTAAAAGGGCCTTTGAAGGTGTGGCTATGTTAAGAGACCTCATCCAGGTGGGCCTCAAGGTGCGGTTACTATGGCCCTGATAAGAAGACGACCCTGGACAAAGTGTGAGAGAGAAATAAGGTACTTATGCTACAAGGAGAAGACAGAGGAGGCGAAGCTGCAATAGCAAGCTTGAACTTTCCATCTTGATAGTTTATTGTTCCAAATGTGAACACTGAAGGATGTTTGTGTTTATTCTTCTTGTTTTCAACCATGTGTTAGAACTCTTGCACATGTGTAGGTGCCAGGAGCCCAGAGGCACTGGGTTCCCTGGCGCTGGACTGACAGGTGACTGGGAGCCCCCTGACCTGGGTTCTGGGAACCAAACTTGGGTTGTGAGTGTAAAGCTTTCTCTCCAGGATAATGTCCCAAGCTGCAGGCACTACTAACCCCTGAGCCATCTCTCCGGCCCAGTCAAATATTTTTAAGAACAAAGTGTCTAAAGCTAGTTATTAAATCAAAAGTTGGTAAATTTTTCTCAGAAGACAGAATTTCTTTTGTTGTTTGTTTGTTTGTTTGTTTGTTTGACGGGCTCTCACTATGTGCACCAGGCTAACCTGGAACTCAGGGAGATCCACCTGCCTCAGCCTCCCAAGTGCTGATTAAGGGGGTGCACCACCACGCCCAGCACACCAAAATCTCATGACTGTTCCCAAACTATGTCATATTTCACACCTAGAAGTGCATCCCAAGGGGAAGGTAGGGTGCAGAGAAATGACATTCCACACACAGGAGGCAACTGTGGAGATACTGCACGTTAGAGGAAGCTAAGTGGCCTGGCTGACTGGTGACTACACTTGAGACAAAGCCCCATGACCTGAGCTCCCTGGCTTGATTCCTAGGACCCCCCAAAATCGTCCTGTGACCTCCACACATGCACAAGCACACCCACGTCCAAGTAAACAAAAAGTTGAAGAAGGTGTGGTGAGATGGCGTGGAAGGTGCCTGAGGACGTGGGTGCAATCTTCGAAACTAGACGGTGAGAAGACAGAGCCCATTCCAGAGGGCTGCCCTTGTTTTCCTGACACACGCTGGATGGAACACACATGTCACACCCAACCCACAAAATGAATACAGCTTTAAAAAATTAAGTGGTCAACAGATTAAATAACCCCATTATGGTTAAATTCTAACCATGTAAAACAGCATTTTTTTTTTTTACAATTCTGTAAAAAATATGTTGCTCTTGTTAGTAGCCTATGATGCTTCTATAGCTACACATACAAACTTTATTAAAGTAATTATTTGATTCATATTCTGTTATCTGCTTAAAACAGAAGTGTGATGTGGACATCTCACGCATCAATAGTAATGACTCGCCGTCACTTTCCAATAGGGCCTAATATGGTGTATATTAATATTGTATCAGTGGCTACAGAACAATACCCAGCCCTGCACGGACCAAGGACTGCTCAAAGCATTCCAAGTTTTGCGTGCACTGACTCCTGTCGTCACAGCAAAAGAGAGTGGCTGCCTGACGCGGCTGCTCTCCTTTACTGGGCGTGACACACAGCAGGGTTAAGTCACCTGCCTGAGAGGACACAGCCAGCAAGTGGGTGTGCGCAGTTTACAGCCCCGCCTCAGCTTCTGCTCCTAAGCCATTCATCCTGAAGGAATCGGCTTATGGCAAGAAGGGAAATGGGCCCAAATCTTCACCAAAAAAGTAAATGTCTCAAGGGCTAGAGAGACTGATCAGCACTCAAGGGAGTCCTTGCCCCTCTTGCAGAGGACTGACGTTAGGTTCCCATTCTAGTGGCTCCCTTGACTAGCAACTATCTACACTGCCAGACCCAGAACTTCTGACACCCTCTCTAGCCTCCTCCACAGACATGCGCACTCATGTAATTTTTTAAAATAATTGTTTAGTTCTTTTTATTTCCAAGACAGGGTCTCTCTGTGTAGCACAGGCTATCCTGGAACTTGCTTTGTAGACCAGGCTGGTCTCATACCTGCTACACATAAACACACATTCATATACATAATTAAAAATAAATCTTTAAAAGCTGCTTATAAATAACTTTGCGTATACATCTTATGTTCGTATACAATTATTTCCATGAGGTAAAATAATACACATGGAATTTTTTTAGCTAAAAGAAAATTTTAAACCATCACGGTGACTCACGCCCGTAATACTAGCACCCAGGAGGCTAAGACAGAGACAGCTTAAGACCAGCAGGGATTATATAGTAAGACCCTGTCTCAAAAACAAAAATTCTTTCTTGGTACATATTGCCAACTCAGAAGCATCGAAAATGTTCATAGATACTTAGAATTAAATACCCAATCAGTGTTCTGGTTTTGCTTACAAATACATAAAAGTTTACTAATTAGTACAAATATATTAATGTAATATAAATATATACAAAAAATAACAGTAGTTACCTACTGTTTTAGGTTTTAGAACGGTAGTAACAGAGAAAAATGGCGGAAGATTTCAGAGGCAATTATTTTTAAGGTTGAAAGTAACACTTTTTTTTCTTTTTGAGATTATGCTTATAGCATTTCTCTCTTCCTTTTCTCCCATAACTCCAAACCCTCCCATATCTCCTTTAAATTCATGGCATCGTCTTTCACTAATTGTTACTGTGTGTATAAATATATATGTATATACAGGTATATACCTAAATATAGCCTTCTCCGTCCATGTCATATTACTTCTGCGTATGTTCTCAGGGCTGACATTTGGTACTAGACAGCCAATTAGTGTGCTCTTCTCTGGGAAAAAACACCTCGCCTCTCCCACGCCCAGCTTTCCTCAGTTACAGGAGTATTTCTTGTTTACAAGACAGGGTTTCTCTATGTATCCTGGAACTCGCTCTGTAGTCCAGGCTGGTCTCAAACTCCAGAGATCCACCTGATTCTGCTTCCCAAGTGCTGGGATTAAAGGCAACACCACTGCCTGGCAACAGGAGCCATTCATGGTGTGTGCGTATTAGATAGTAACATACATCAATGCAACGTTTAACTATACTTACTGTGCAAGTCTAGAAAGAGAAGACAGCTCAGCACTGATCCACCTTAACCTCCTTTCCTTTATTACAGTCTGCACAGGGCCAAGCAGATCAAATGTCACCCTATCGTAAAGTTTTGTCAGATGTTCTGATTCCAGGCTAAGGGTGCTCACGTCACACTGAGTAATCTCAAGGAAAATGTGCGCTGATACTTTCAAGTATACATGTTATGCTGAAGTGTAATGCTGTGCCCTCTCCCCACCTGAGACAGAACTCCCTATGCAAAGTGAAGACGACATACCTCTGTAAAACTGAAGAAGAGGCCAATGCCACCAACAAATCTCAAAACCTCTCCCGCATACTCCCCGATGATGGGGGCACATGGTGAGCACTTATGGCTACTTTTAACACAGCTCTGTGCCAAGAAAAGAAAAGGCTTGTTACTTCAGAGTACATTTATTTAAACACACACACACATAAAAACTAAAACTATACACAGACAAAATTCAGGTTTAGGATGCTACATCCAATTTGAGTATGGATTTTAAACTGTGTGCAAATTTCCAAGATGGTCATTTCCTGTACATGCTCTGTCAGACGGATCTACTCCTTCTAGAAACTGTGACTGTGACTGGCAGATGTCCAGACTGCACTGTGTAAGAATTCGTTCTACCAGAACAGAGGGATTCTCATGCTAACTTGCATGCAATGTGAGTGAGATACCCAGCTGAGGTGGTCTGAATAAGAAAGGGGGACCATAGGCTCATATATCTTAATGCTTGGTTACCAGGGAGTGGAACTGTTTGAAAGGATTACAAGGATTAGGAGGCGTAGCCTTGTTGGAGTAAGTGTGTCCCTGGGAGTGGGCTTTTGAGGTTTCAAAAACCCATACTAAACCCAATACATTCTCATTCTCTCTCTCTCTCCCTCTCTCTCCCTGTATCTGCCTGTAAGAAGAATGTAGCGCTCACTATTTTTCCAGCTCCACACATGTATCCACATTGCTCCCTCCATGATGATAACAGAAACAACCTCTGAAAATGTCAGCAAGCCCCCAATTAAACGCTTGCTCTAGTAAGAGTTGTCTTAGTAACAGTGTCTCTTCACAGCAATAGAACTAAGGGTGGCCAAGACAATGCTGACAGCCGCCAAGCAAGCGGAGCTTGTATTCCTTCAACTACAGTGTGTCAAAGCCTACAAACAACCACTGGGTAGAGGTTAACAAGCCTTGGGTGAATTTCAGTTGCTGCTGACACCTCATTTCAGTCTCATGAGACTCTGCTGTGATGGTTACTGTTAATTCTCAGCATGACAAAATCTAGAGTCATCTAAGTGTCAGGCCTCTGTGCACTGGTTGTCTTGAATACACTAATGTGTGGGAGGAGCCACATTGACTGTGGGTGAAACCATTCTCCCTATGTCCTGAATATGTTAATGTCTTGAATACATTAACATCTTGAATATGTTAATGTGTAGAAGGAGCCACACTGACTGTGGGTGAGGTCATTCTCCCTATGTCTTAAATATGTTAATGTGTAGGAGGAACCACACTGACTGTGGGTGAGGCCATTCTCCCTAAGTCTTGAATATGTTAATGTGTGGGAGGAGCCACCTTAACAGTGGATGAGATGTGTCTAGCAACCTGGAGCTCCTGCTGCTGACTTTCCCATGACCACAGAATGTCACCTGGGGCTACAAGCTAAAATGAACCTCCTCGCCCTTAAGCTCCTTCTCTCTGGTATTTTGTCATAGTAACTGGCAAAGAAACTAAGACACCTGAGTAGAGGACTCAGCTAACTGAGGCTGGACTCCCATGGAGAATCATGATGACAGACAGATAACTGATTTAGGCCACAGATTCTATGATAACATGCTATAACAACAGAAAGTTAATATAGAGTCATGCAAACAAATAGCTTCACAGATGAGGCCTCCTTGAAGAGATGGTCAAACTAGGTAGAGCTCAGAGAGCTGGTAAGAGGAGCTGCCACAAAATAGAAACACACAGGAACTTTTTAGGTGAGTCATGCCCTGAGCCTGTTTCTAAAGGACAGGGCCTGGAGTGAGGTGGTTCAGTCTTGCAGGACAGTGAGGATGAATTTCATTCTCCAGTATGAGGGAGAAATTGTGATGGGGAAGAGGGAAAAGAGAGCATGGTAGGTTTATGTGTCCTCTACCATGCAGTTGCCGGGCTAGTTAAGAGCCAATTTAATACAGACCCTTCTCTGGCACTATTAGAGTGGCCAAGATGGAGATCTCTGAGACTGATCTGCTATTTCAATCTCATAGCTTGTTATAGGAAAGAGCTGAATGAGAAAGAACTACATGCAAAAAAATACAAATGCAGTGTGTCTCACTGGACATGGCTGAACAAACATGACAATAGCACATATGAAATATAAAAGAGGCACATGTCAAACAATTTTGGGATATAACTCAGCATCAGAAAGACCACCTGCTCTCTGTTAATCATTAGTAAACTGTATGTAAAACATTAAAAAAAATCTTTTATAGTTTGGACTCACAGCCAGACAGGTGTCATTTGGGTTAAAACTTCGGAAGCCACAGCAGTTCAAGTTCCTCTGGATGTCATTTCGAGCACTTGCTGTATTGTTCCAACCAACCTCCAGCAGCTGACCCTAAGAAACGCAGTTCACAGATGCATTAAAACCTATCATCTCTATCTAAAATACAGTCAACAAGAGCCTACAGCTAGTAGCAGAGCATATATGAAATCTGTAGTCTCTATGAGATCATTACCACTTTCCAAAAGCTTATCCCTTGATCTAAAAAAAAAAAAGGGTAATATTTCTATCCTACAAATAAAAAAGTCCTGATGTTTTTTTGTTTTTTGTTTTTTTTTTGTTTTGTTTTTTTAACAAGCAATTTGAAACCAGTACTTGTTTCAAAGGTATAAATGTAACAAAGCAAAGCTTCAGTTGCTCTAAGACAGGAACTCATATTTTCTCTACAAAGTAAAGAGTTTGAAGACAGTAATTGCTATAAGGAAACCACAGACACTCTGTCATACTACACAGCAGTAGGGAATGATAGGAAACATCTAAGGACAGCAGTTCTTACCCAGTGAGAGTTATGTCTTACTTAGGGATACAAATTGCCAAGACCTGATGGCATCCTGCCCTGCAATCATTTCCACTAGTTGTTTAGTAGTAAGAGATTTAGGTAGGGGGTATAATGGCATTCGGGACAAGAAGAAATAGTTTTACTCTCCAGCTATTTCTCCCATCTTTTTCATAATCATGCTGTGTGGTATTATAATAAAGTAAATAAAATGAAATTAAAAAAAAAAAGTTAGCTGGTCATAGTGGTGCAGGTCTTTGATACCAGCACTTCAGAGGCAGAGGAAGGTGGATCTCAGTGGGTCTGAGGTCAATCTGGTCTACATAGTGAGTTCTAGGACAACCAGAGCTACACAGCAAGACCCTGTCTCAAAAACAAACAAACAAACAAACCCTTACTTACCTGTTGCTCCTGATTGAGAGCCAAACAAGCACAAGACACTGAAAACTGAACAATAAATACAAGTAGGAGAATAATCATATACTGAGAGTTACAAGTTAAGGACTTTTTCATTATTACACGTATTTATTCACTGTGTATGTGAGTGGGGGTTGAAGTATGCACATACATGCCATGGTGCTCCCGCAGGGGTTATTTCTCACCTATCACCGTGTAGGTACTGGGGATTAAAGTCCAGCCAGCAGACTTGGCAGCAAGCACCTTTGCCTGCTTCAAGGAACCCAGCAAATGCTCAGAACGAGGATGAAGCAGGAGCAGTGAGCGACCTTTCACCTCTGAACTACAGCAACGTCACCTAAAGTTCAAAGTGCTGCACTTCATTATCACTTTGTTAATATCCTGTGACTATAAATTCCTTTAGAAAAACATAAATAATTGCACACTGCCTGAATGATAGGTGACAGCTGTCATCCCACAGCCTAAGAAGCAGAGACAGGAGGCCTGCCCACACCTGGTGTCAGCCTCGTCTACAGAGAGCCTTTTCAAAGAGTCAGGCAGAGACAGGGAGAGAGAGAAAGGTGATTATACTTTAAAACACCCACATCAAAAAATGAAATACAAATTCTGAAACCTGCAAAATGAAAACAGATATAGACAAATGTAAAAGCTTTCTGAAAAGTAAGACTGGAGAGTAGACTGTTACATTCTCAACCAAAAATTAACATGTTAGGAAGGCCCAGAAGTCATGAAATGAGCTTAATTTAACTCTAATTTGCAAAAGAATATCAGAACTATGTCCACCTTTTACAACACTTTATGATGTGATGAGGAAGCATTGGGGATAACCAAACATAAGGCTTTTTCCTTACAGATATCCCTAAATTGTGTTGCTGGGGGTTGCTTCCTGGCAATGAAATCCCTAATGATAATATTAGTAGCAACCACTGAAACATAATCACAAAATCAATAATGAGTGAGAATGTCACCTGAGTGAGGTTAAAAAATAAAAATAAAAATAATCCTGATTTTTTTTTTTAAAAGGATACAAAAAATAGCAACACCTGATGGTGTTTTACAGCTCCAATCAGCCCCACTAAGGCAATCAGGAACAGGAAGATGCCCACAGCAATGACCACGCCCACCACGCGGAGACTGGAGATCAGCCCAAAGCCGATGCCCCAAGCAGCAATCCCAATGAGCAGCAGACTGACCAGCTGTGGAGAGATGGGGAGAGGGTCAACCATACAGCCGCCAGCACTGATCAAGCGTTTATATCTTGATATCGTTTATACAGACCCAGAGTCCCTCAGGATCCGTGGAGACTCAGTTCCAGAACCTGCCACACACACCACATGCAAGTTTCATATAGACGGTGTTGCATTTGTATATAACTTCTGATACCCTCTTTTAAGCTTCAGACCACTTCTGTATGACTTAAGACTAGCTAAGGCAATGCCAAGGCTATGCAATGTTACCCCAAATTGTCAGGGGAATAATAACAGGGAAAAAAAAAAATCTTGGCTCGTGACACAATTCCTGATCACCTTGGTTAAATCCATGAATGTGAAACCCATAGGGAAAGAAAGCTGACTGAAGCACACACGCCTCAGTCGACGGTACTGTTTTAATCAATTTACTGTAATCCTCAATTATGATTTTCTAAAAAGATTAACAGCAATCCAGAAAGAACCACGGAGTCTGAGAGGTCGTCCAGATTACGAGGCCTGAGCATGCACGAGCAACTGTAAGCTAGCCTAGACACAGCACACTAACACTAGCTCCCAGCCCATCTCAGCCATCATTCTTACACAGTCATGTGGAAATCATTTACCTTTTCTTTACAACCCTCCCTGGCAAGCTGTGTTCTTCAAATACGAAGCTATTGTTTCCTTCCTTGTGCCAAAATCTGTTCCTATATCAGTCTCTCCAGGACTTATTGTGTTCTAACTTCCACGTCTCCTTGTCTCCTTGGAACTTATTAGGGCCTGAGCCCTGGAGAATACTGGAAAGTTGTTTCCGGAACTACTGTTAAAGTGAATTGTAATCAGCATCAAGTATGTTAAAATATAGAGGGACAAGAACCATTCAAAGCATCATGATGGGCCCAGCCGGTTGGCACAGGCCTATAATCCCAGCACTTGGGGAGGCAGGGGCAGGTGGATCTGGAAAAACCAAAACCAAAACAATACAAGACAATACACCCAATCAAGATGAAAATACGGTAGGAACGGTTAGCTATTTAAAAGAAATGGCAGTTGAACAAGAAGAAATCATGTCATATTCCAGTCATCTTATATATAGGTGTTTTGGTTTGTTTGTTTTTGTTTTTCTGAAACAGGGTTACTCTGTGTAGCCTGGCACCCTCCGTAATGTGGGAAGGAAGCCTTTACAGCCACTGAAGTTTCCCAAGTATAACCTGAGTTCTGCTGAGTTCCCAGTATGCTGAATTCTAAGGATGTCCACCTTGTTAATCCCAGTTGTTTGGGCCAGATCTTTGAAATCTCTCTTGTCTGAGAGATTTTCTTTTGATAAACAGATAGAGATGCACATATTCCTGACGGTTCTGTTTCTGGAGACCCCTAACTGCTACTCCGATGTGTGTGCTTGTCCTCCCTGCCTGTCCTCACACCTCCGTCAGGCTGCTTTTACTGGCTGGGAAAGGCAGTGTGCTATATTTGGGAGTTGCAAAGTCAGAAATAAACTTGCTTGAGACGGAACTGAGCACTTTTCCTCAGCTCCCCACTGTTTAGAGCTGTGAGGTGACTATGAAGGGTATGACGAGACAGAACCAACAAGGTGCTGCTGAGGAAGGGAACTGGAACCAGGGAGACATTTGTGTGTGTGTGTGTGTGTGTGTGTGTGTGTGTGTGTGTGTGTGT